CGCTTCCATCTACTGGCCACCAAATGTTATATGTTATTCTGTTACGCTACGATACGTTCTTTCGCTGCCTAGTTTATTGTCGGATTTTTTTTCTCACCAGTAATAATTCCATGCAGTATGTACGGTTACGACCTAATAGCTCGAGCGAAAGCCGAGATACATGACATTTTGAAAGTTCCACTTAGGACTGGAAAAAAGGCCCAGGCAACTGCTGAAACGAGTCGAAAATGCGTCATGCAGAAGTTCATTTTCTATACGACGTACGCTCGTTATACTTGTACCGATATCATCAAATGTCTGAAGATTAGACAAAAACGCATGTTGGTCAACGCGTCCTTGCGACGTATAGAGCGCGATAGCTCAGTGGGTATCCTCGAGCTATTTTCGGCATACCATCACTTTCGCGAGATTTCGCATCATGTTGTGCAGTGACTGTCACACGTACTAAGAAGACGTGAACTTATTAAGCCGTCAGCGGCGTGGCAGCTCACCTTGCATCGTTCTCGAGGTGCCGTGCACCAGCTGTTTGTTTTGCTCGCGGATGGGCCGAGTTGCGAGTGAGTTTGCATGCGAGGGTACGAAGACGTACCTCAAATGCATACACTTGAGGATATTATTTCAGCTCTTCGGCAAACTTAGCCACGTATTTTTAAGCACATCGACAATGCAGAAAAAGTGACTTACACATGGCGCAGTGTTTCGTTGGCTGCCATGATGATAGCGAATTTCACGCTGCCCCAGCTTTCTATTTTGCAGTTTTTGAGCACCTACAGGTTATCTCGTGTTCCCCACACACGTGACCACGATGCTCTTTCCTGTCCTGACCGAAAATAGTTTACTGACCCCCTGGCTCGCTCTGGCTGCCAAAGGTCTGAAAATATATGATTCCCAGCACGCATACATGAGCTGTACAGGACCATAAAACGCATCCGAAGCATTCGATTTGTCGAACTGTCTCAGATCAAACTAGCGAGTTTCTACGCTATAAGTTTATTCACCAAAGGAGTACTGGCACAAAAATTCGTAGCCGAGATAAAAAGCAAGATCAATTACTGTTGACGTGCGTACACTATGCGGAAAATATCAGTCGGCGGACATACCTTTGAAGGTATTTTACGAAATTTTGAAGTTTGCGTGCGTGATCGAGTACCTCGCGACATTGACACCCTCAAAAACGGCCCACGGTTACCCCTTCCTGCTCTGACATCAACACACTGCCATCAGTATGATTATGATTGCCACGATGGTCTAGTGGCTAAGGTACTCGGCTGCTGACCCGCAGGTCGGGGGATCAAATCCTGGTTGCGGCGGCTGCATTATCGGTAAGGTGAAAATGCTGTAGGGGTGTGTGCTCTGACTTGGGTGCATATTAAAAAACTCCAGGTAGTCAAAATTTCCAGAGGCCTCCACTACCACGTGTCTCATAATCAAATGTTGGTTTCGGGACGTAAAGCCCACGAATCAACCAATTATTTTGCCCGATTGCTTCAGAAGACTACCACTCGGCGGCCGCTCGCGAGTCTGTAGTGGCAGCGCATGCACTGAAAGTTGTGTGTTTGGTGAACCTCCTGTCCCGTTTTCTGTTCGAACGGAATTCTTGATTCGTACCACGCCAATTGCGTCTCGGGTCTGAGAGCTGACGTGGTCGAGCGTTCCGTACACTACGTACTGATAGTACACTCTAAAGCAAAGGGGTGTTAAAAGGGTGTGTGGTTCGTCCTTTTGGGTACTAATGGGGCTGCCACAACCATTTTTCCTTTTAAGAACTAACGGCACCGGGTCTAACAGTTAGTCCACACTGACAAACTCAAGGGACTAACATTTAGTCCTCACTTTAACATCTTAGTGAGTAACCGCTAGTCCCACAATTTACCTCAAAGCACTAACATTTAGTCCTCACAATTGCACCTTATAGAGAAACTGCTAATCAGCACGTTTACACCTTACCGGGCAATCGTTAGTCCTCACAGTTGCACCGTGCCGGACGAACGGTTGATCCATTCAAATACTCCAATCGGATGGACTTTTTGTCCCCAGTTCACACATTGTTTTTTCTTTATTTTCCGCCAGGCCTAATATATTTTTCGCCTGCTTTTCTGCGCAGTGAGCAACAAATTGCGCAGAAAAGAACACGCGGAAAAGTAGTTAGCCACGTATGTGTAATGCTTTCGCATTCACGGCGACAACGAAAGACAAAAGTGAGACATCGACATCTTTTATTTTTCTACATACACATGGAATTTCTCCATTTTTTAAATTGAATTCATGGTGAAGTGTACAAGTTCAGTCTCGTTGTCAAATCTTGTTCACTCCTTGGGGAGCTTCTCCGACGGAAGCGATAGGTGACAGGCATTGCAGAGGCCAGCGCACGCAGCCTTCTGCATGTTGTGTTCCCACGGCCGCACGTACAATAATATAGTAAGAATAGTTAGACACACGTGACAGAAGACGAAGATGCACGCATATGACAAGTACGTGCACGTTAATATAAAAACAAGCGTTAAGATATGACACACAAAAAACTTTACCTTCACATCTCGCACAGTCTTTATGAAGCTGCTCTGACGAAAGAGATGGATGACGGGCAACGCAGGCGCCAGCGCACACAGCCTTCAGCACGGTGTGTGCCCACGGCTGCACAATAAGCATGCAAAATAGTGAGTCACAAGTGACAGAGGATGAATACAAATGCATATGAGAAATACGTGAAAGGTAGAATGAAAACATACGTGAGATATGACATGCTAATAATTTCACCGTGATGTCACACATCGTCAAAGACTCATTTCAATCCCTGTAGCGCAACAGCTTAGGAGTGGCGGCCGCAGCCACAACTCCGCGAACCATCGTCCGCCAAGTCGGCGAATCCTCTGCGAGCGACGTCGTTCAGCTAGAGCAAGCGAACGTGAGACCCAACACGGCACTGCACGCGGAGTGTCTGCCGCCAGCGAACTTCGAACAGGAGAGCGAGCGTACGCTTAGCCGCCGCCACGAACACCGCCGAGCTGGTTTGGAGCTAGCGCCGGAAAAATCGACGGTAATGCGGCCCTTTTTCACAAACTCGAGCGAGTGCAGCGCGCAAACGCGAGTCCGTCGTCGCGGCCAGTGGACGGCGCCGAGCTGCTTGCGACCGACTGACGGGAAAGCCAACTTTAATGGCGACCAATTTTGAGTGAGTTCCGACGCTAGCGAAAGCCCCACCAGCCCATGCTGGTGCACTTACAGCGCGCGGCATGCTACAACCAAGCTCTTTACGAGAATCCGCAACGTGGTTTCGACGAATCCCAACAAAGTGACGAGGTTTCAGCCCAATATCGTCAGCCCGGAGCTCATCGCGGCGGCCTGCGCCGAACTAAACAAACAGGAATGCACCGAACTAAACAAACACCCACAAAGCGGTCTGCTTGCACACACTCCCCATTCGATCAAGAATATTTTGGCGATAAACTATTAGCCTAGTTCCAGTTGAACCATAAATATATAGTTTACTTCGACGTATGTAAAACTAAAACTATTCCGAATAAATTTTTATTGAACTTTTGGTTTTCGTTGTTTGCCCTCTACCTCTCTCATACTCGCGCTTCAAGTGTACGGCGTGCGTTCATGTCTGTGGCAATATCTTTACCTTGCTACGAAATAGCTTCACCTGGCCACCATTTCTCCCTCATCCCCCCAGTCAATCCAAATAAAACAGAAACCTCTGAAAGAAGAAGCCCACTCTGTGGAAAGCCCCGTAAAACCGCACAGATTCGGCGGACCATGCTTGAGTTACCACAGCTACGACGATGGTGAAAACAATTATCAGCGTTAGATTATCAGCTGTTCAGTACGGGTGCAATAAAGCACAGTGCGATTTTTTATCCGAGTCGTGATAACAGATACCAGCAGCATGGGCTGAAATCTGAGTGCTCCGTACTCCCACAGGTTAAGAATAATGCAGCAATACCAGTATTACACCACCAGTACATCTTGCTATCATCACTTAAGACACGTTGAACTCGACATGCATGATGCATCCCACAATGGCCGAGATTGCGATTTCATTCTTTACTATCATGTCGTGGCGCTTCACTTCCATCGTTTATCGAACGCTTAAAAGAAGCTGTGTGCATGGTTCCTCGTTGCCATAACAAGAGTTCTTTAGGCGGGTGAGTGATACGTCCTTCATTTTAAACCGCTGTAACACACATCTAAGTGACCATAGGTGTAGTTATGTCGCAGAGCCCTTCAGGCGCCGTTTAACGACCATTCATTTTGAAATATGTAAGTTATAACATCTCGTGTGAAACAGTCAGGCTATTTCACTCAGCGATCATTCTATATATTAGCTGGCATAAAACTGTGTGTTCTTTGCCAATGTCTTGATCTGTGTGGTTTCGCAGGACTTTCCATAAAGCGGAAGCATGGAAGCTGTGATGCAACACTCTGCGATTCCCATGATGCGTTTACGACGCAGCTCATCGCCGAGTGGCAGCACTGCCTCTGAAGTCCACAGTGGCCGTCACTCGTGGCGCTCCAGCAAAAGTATTTTCATCGCCAGTGCTGTTCTAACACTGATGATCGTCGTCGCCATCGTCATAGCTGTGGTAACTCAAGCATGGTCTACCAAAACATCGGCGTCAATTCCAACGTCAGCGTGGTTGCCATGGACCGAACGCGTCAATGACTCAAGACTTCCGCGGATCTTGTTATGGGAATCAGCGGCAGCGCCGGAAATCTTGGGTGCCAATACATCTCAAGCGGTAATTCATTTAAAAAGCTCAGGAACACTTCACTGCATCTTGGGTTCGACTGAAGATAATGTCTGTGCAGTGACCACGCAGCACCGTCGTGCACAAGAAAGCGACGCGTTGTTGTTTCACGGAGAAAACATAACGGCATCGCTACTGCCCACATTTCGCAGTCCTGGACAGCTGTGGGTGTTTTGGGCCACCACCCACTTTCCGCCAGCGTTATCTTACGACAACCTCTCGAAGATTTCCGGCCTCTTCAACTGGACCATGGGACGCAGGGACGATGCGGATGTCACCATTCCCTACAAGACATGGCGTTGTGGCGGTCGCGGCCAAGTCAACCGCAGTCGGGAAAAGCAAGAGGTGAATACGCAGAAGTGGCAATACAGAAAGGATGCAGCATGGATTACTGGCTATTGCGAACGCAAGACATTATTTAAGGTTTCGGACAGTCTCAAGGCTCACAGTATCGGAAATCGGGAAAGCAATGGTGCCATCCGAGTTCACTCATTTCCAGCTTGCGGCATCAGCCATTGTGGCTCAAGACGGGAATGTGTCAGGTATATAGCACAGCATTATCATTTCATCATTGTCTCCGGCATCCCAGAGTGTTTCCAGAGTGCCGCCGATCTGGTTTACGACGCCTTCGAACACAATGTGGTGCCCGTGGTTCTCCAGGCCAAGTCGTGGAATAAATTTCCTCGAAAGTCCATAATCAGCTCTTCAACGATGCGCAATCCTGGTGAACTGGCGGCGTATCTCAGGACTCTCATCGACAATCCGAAACTATACAACCAGTACTTTGCTTGGAAGAATACGTGCAAAGTGGCAGAGCCCAGAAGTGATAGTCTGTGCCATCTATGCCGAGCACTTCACGGGAAGCCGTTTCGCGGCCGTCATTCTAATGTTCTGGACTGGTGGAGACAGCCAAGAAACTGCACTCACGCTCTTTCTCCCATTCTCAAGACATCGTTGTTTGTGCATGATGAGTGAAACGACGTTAACACTTCGGTGCCAACGGATGTCAGTTAGCGACAGCGTGTGCAACGATGATTCAAGGGCCTGACAACACTTGCGTAAAACTTTTGAAGTGGCAGCTGTGACGAAAAAGTGATTTTATTATTTGTGGAAACAGACATGTAACTTTGACTAATAAATTGCTTACCATAGCCTACTGGAATTGATGTTGTCCCCTGAACCTGCCAAGGCCTTTCAGGAACGGGGGGTAACTCCTCAAAAGGATGGACAGTTGCATGAGTAGGTACTGACAAATGAATTTTAATTGAAAACATGAAGAAAATTGAGGAAGAAGAAACGCGAAAAACACACGCACATGCTCAACCAGACAACTCCCATATTTCCACGTTAAAAGAAGAAATCTCTGCTTCGTGTAATGCCGTGGAGGGCTTGGTGACACAAGTATCTCAGGCTTTTAACGTAGCTCAAGATCAGCCCGTTCTTTGTGCCACGCAATGACAGTTCCTGGGATATCCCGGCAACTATTACACTCGCAACACTGTAAAGACGAGTTATATCAATGTTCTCTTTCCATAGATAATCGGCAATCCTTACACTTTCTGTGTAAACAGTGGCCGGTCTGGCCGTCTTTGCTGTTGCCACAAAAAAGAGGGACGGAGTTTATCGCTCCCTTACCTTAGTCTGATAGGGCGCCCTTGTGCTTGACCTTGCGCTGAAACAACTTTCGTGCAGGGCCTTCTATCTTTTTGTCAACAACACCACATAATCTGCATAACTTATTCCTCGCAGAAGCCGCCGTTTTCAGAGGGGCATGAGCACTCTTCCGGATGGCATGCCGGCAGAACAGCGCAAAAATTCTTTGAATTGGTTTTCTGTTTGACCTTGGTTCTTCCCATACCCCTAAGTGTGTCTCACGCACCCTTCGTCGCCAACTCCAACATTTCGCACTTCGTGAAGGCTTGCTGTATTGTCGCACTTACCTGACTGGTGGCCTGAGATGGCTACTTCTGATCCCCCGTCATTTGCGTGCGGACATTTGCAGCGCCTTCCATTACGGCGCTCAGTGCGGACACGCTGGCACAACCAAGACGTACTGGCACCTTCGGTTGGGGTACTACTGGCGAGGCATATATCAATGCGTTTGCAGGTACTTTCAGTCGTTCCCCGCGTGTCTACGTCGCAGGTTTCCTGCTCACAGCACCGCTGGTCCTCTACAGCCAATGCCCTACCCTGCCCGACCATTCGACCGTGTAGGAGTCGATCTCCTCGGTCCACTCCCGTTCACTATTGACGGCAACCGTTAGGTAATAGTCGTCATCGACCACTTCGCGCAGTATGCATAAACATCTGCTTCACCAGCAGACACCGCAAAAGATGTCATGTGGTTCCTTCTTCGTCATTTCATTCCGCGCCATGGGGCCCTACGTGAAGTACTCAGCGACCGTGGCCGCGTGTTACTCTCAAGTGCCATCGAGGTTCTGCTCAAAAAATGCCGCAGTGTACACTGCACCGTTTCCGCATACTATCTTTAAACTAACGGCATGACGAAACTCTTCCATCGTACGTTTGCCGACATGCTGGTGATGTACACGTAGGAAGCCGACATTAACTGGGATTGCATACTCCCTTTCGTCACCTACACTCACAGCTCTGCGTCCAACACTACAACTGGCTTTTCTCCCTTCTTTCTCCTGTATGGACGTGAACCTTCGTGTTTCATTGACACCATTTTGATTAATTTATGATCTTTATATGGGTGGTTTAACACCCCAAAATCACCGTATGGTTATGAGAAACGCCGTAGTGGAGGGCTCAGGAAATTTTGACTACCTGGGGTTCTTTAACGTTCACCTAAATCATAGCACATGGGCCTACGGAATTTTCGCCTCCATTGAAAATGCAGCCGCCGCCGCTCGGATTAATCCCGTGACCAGCGTGACTTGCGAGTCAGCAGCCGAATACATTAGCCACTAGACCACCACGGTGGGCGGGCACCATTCTGCCCTACCAACTGACTGCAAGTCCATCTTTCAAGCAGCTGCTTATGCCGAAAAATACCGTAAGCTGGCGTGCTCGTTCACCACGCAAGACCAGTCGCGCTCAAAAATCCGCCATGACGCATCTGTGTCTCATGCCCATTATTCCCTCGGAACGCTTGTTTGCATCTGGGTCCCGTCCACAACTACCGGTCTTTCCACCAAGCTTTTGTCACGGTAACAAGGGCCTAATTGAATACTGCAGCAGACATCTCCCGTAAACTATACGTCGTCAAGCCTGTCAAAAGATCACCCGATCATCGCTGCCGAAGCCATGAAACAGTCCACGTCACGCGACTTAAACACTGCTACGAACCACCTGAAGCGTCTTTTTCCCAAGTCGCAAGCATTGCTTCTCTTTGTGCGGGGAGAACTCGTACCGGTGCACATCGGTGCCAGCTCTGTGCGAACGAGAGCAAAGAGGACGACCTTCGTGTGTCGCGTACTCGGCCTCCTGTTTGCTGTGCGGGGCTCGAGTCCTATCAGCTCTAGAAGGGTGGCTTGCAGTTTTGCGGAGACTTCAAAATTTGAATGAATCCGTAATCATTCCACATTTTCGTGACAGAATGGAATGGGAATGAAATGAAAACAATGCTTAGAAGAATGAAATGGGAATAGAATTAAGGGTATTTTGCATGAAATTCAATTGGGGTATAATTACGCCTTTTTTCGAAAATAGAGCACGTGTTCGTCTGCACGCTGTTTTTTCAAAATGTATACATTAGTAAGCCACAACCTCGAATTTAACCATGCGCCTACTATCATTCTGTCTTTCTATAGACTGTTGCTACAAAGTTGGTCTCTATTATTCACGTAACCGTGGTTATATGTCGTTTGTATGCGTTGCGCAGAACTACGGTGGTGGCATACTTTTCCTTACGCCTTGAAGCTTGTTTCCCTCAGTGCCACCCCAGCCCCCTTTCACTTTGCTGTTTCACCTTTCACTTCGATGTTGTTTTGTTTTGTTTTTTTGTGGCCGTAGGCGACTCAGATGCACATTCGAAAAGGCGCTTCTTTAAGTTGTGACAAGTACTGGCGCTCATACAAGCTTTCGTGTACCTGCTTGCCCGACGTCGCACCTCATACATCTCCCCCCTACCTGCCCTTTTACATTATTGGTTCACCTTTTGTTAGCAACAGCAGCGCCTCCTCTATTTTTTTCACTGCCCGCATGATCCCTCTCTTCAGACCGTCGAGCGCACACTCCGGCTCCAATCACTGCTACCGCATAGTGGCGCTGCGCGAGTAGACTACGGGATGCTGGCGCGGGATATGGCCGCGCGTATTAGAAAGGTCGTGTTTTCATGTGAGTTAGTTTGCATTCGTGCTTCTCGCCGGCTTTCATGGATGCAGGGTGGATGAAAAGTAACACGATTATAGAGGCGCCCTGTTTTCACCGGGCTCTGACCGCTGTGGCGAGAAAAAGATGCTATATGGTGTTTGTCAAATGTATGACAACGTCTTTTTAATATCCAGGTACAACGCTTATCAATAATTGCAAAACTGAAAACGTGGTAGCTACAGCATGTCTGCGTTTCTTTGCATGTCCACTGCACATATTCCTGAAGCAGTCTGTCAGGCCGTGATGCTGGTTCGATAGTCGCACTCGAATTTTACACCAGTTGAGTTCTACAGCCTTCGCGCTTTGGTTTCTTTCAGGCTATTGTGACTTATTATTCGCATGCCTCAGTATATAATACTGTTGTTTACCACAGTGCATATCTGACAGAAAGAAATCAGATTGTCTTCTTTTATTGCTTATTGGTGGCCATAAAAGAAGTCACAGGAATTCACCTGAGATGACTGAAAAGCAAGAAATGTCTTCGCTTTCTTCCCATTTAATGCATTGAATGTTTCCTACTCCCTCCGGGATGTTTCTGCGCCCAACGTGGTTTTATTACTGCCTCGAGAATTGGACACAAAGCTAGCTGTCTGCCCCTCATCTGGTTAGGCACCACCCTCGTGATCGGCTGATTTCAACCATGCGAAGTGACGTTAAGATGCCGTAAAGATATGTGGCCTTCTGATACGTCACAAAATTTTATTTTCTGTGATCTCATATGGTGACGTCTCCACATATTGACGATTTCTTGTGTCACTCGTACTGACGCCACCAACGCGAGGAGTCACTGGACGCCGCCGGCGATCGTTTTCGCTATTGATAAGGCATTTCGCTTTGATAACGCATGCGCACCTACTATTTCTTGACAATATAGTGATGACCGGCGGAGTTACTCAATTTTCTTTGGAGTAGGACAATCGGTGATGTGCTCACACATGATGACACAATGAAATTAATTGAGAGTGCTTCGTAGATGTACCGGGCGTCGGTATCATGATATCTGTGCAATATATTGTGATAAGTTTGGATAACAGGCTCAAGTTTATGCCCTTCTAATAATGCTTAGTCTTCTTAAACACTACTTTGAAGCATTGAAATGTGCCATGTCTTCATTTTAGCGTTAACATATTTAGGCTTCAACATTAATAATCATTCGTTCAAACATGCCGACCATGCAAGTATTCTAGGTATCGGGATAACTGTGCCAACGGAGTTAGTACAGGCTGGATGTATACTGCATGAGATACCTCTCGACGTTGGTAACGTGATTAGAGCACTTTTCCAGTTCTTAATGACATCAGCCTCATGAGGCGTTCATTCTCAAAGCCATAAAACTCTCAAGACTGCCTTTCCTGCGCTGAGAAATTCCACTAATAGAATTCAACTGTCTGGCCATTCCCGGCATGGGAATAGTCGAGGTTGTTTCATTCGAAGATTTGAAAAGAACGAATGATTGGAAGTCCTAATTCCCCAAAATGGAATTGGAATGGGAAAGAGACACCCGTTCTACATCACTCTTGGGTTGATGAAATACACCTGCACCTGAATGTCAGAAAATGCGCTGTACTGCCAATAAATACTCCATTCATATTTCGCTCTGTTATCAACCAGAGAATATTCCGCAAGTGTATAGAGCCAAACGAAATACCTTGGTGTGTTCTACGACCACTCTATGTCTTGAAAGGCACACATTGAATACATTATTTTATTTATTTAGTTAATATTGCCGACTTCTATGCGAAGTCGTAGGCAGGAGTGGGTGACAGATACACTTGATTGGACATTTTCCAGGGCAAGAAAACAACAGTAGCTTAAAACAGAAAAAATATGTCGGAGGGAATATAGAAGAAAAACAGGGAGAACACCCTTTGATGCATAGTATCAAAGGGTGTTCGGGTGGGTGGTTTTTTACGCATGTGTAGTCGTAGTCTATTTTTCATGCGAAGGCAAATGCTTTTTGTACAAAAACTGCGTGTATGCTTGGCTGGTCCTTAAATTTGGTGCATACTAACCGCTGGCGCTCTTGTAATCCTTGAGAGGCAAGCATTGCGACTGTTTTTAGGTCTTCCTAAATTTTTAATAATTGAACTATTGCATTTGCATGCTAAACTCCCATTACTTGTTGGGCGTACAATCACTTTTAAAGCTTTATGAATCCGCAGTAAGACATTCCGAAATACTTTTTATCTCGCTGCCTGAGTTGTTCTTTGGAACACACTGGCCGAGATTTCACACGCCTCAAGCTCTACTTATAAAGAGCTTTCTTGATAATTTAAGTGTTCATAATGCAACTTTCCTTCCTCAAGTTTTGTTATCGCCCCGTTACACTGTATGTAATTCTGAGCGCAAACCGCGTGCCCCGCCGCAGTGGTCTTGTAGCTAAGGTACTCGGCTGCTGACCCACAGGTCGCGGGATCAAATCTCGGCTGTGGTGGCTGCATTTTCGATGGATGCGTAAATGTTGCAGGCCAATGTGCTCATATTTGGGTGCACGTTAAAGAACCCCAGGTGGTCGAAATTTCCGGAGCCCTGCACTACGGCGTCTCTCATATTCATGTGGAGGTTTTGGGAGGTTAAACCCCACATATCAAATCAAATCAATCAATGAGCGCAAACAGCGCCTGCAGTGTTCGGGACACTTCGGGACTGTATAGATCATTTCTTCAGGATTAAGCCAGTTTGACGAACATTACATATTATTCTGGAACCTACGTGGCTGCTTGCGATAACGCTAGAATATTTGACGGCACATGTATAAATGCTGAAGCGCTTCACCACTTGCCAGTTGATCAACGGCCGAAGTTCTGTTCACCGCTATCAGTGCCAGTGGATATCGTTGTAATCTGGCGCCCTTTTCTGGCCACATGGTCGGCCAT